AGTAACACTATGTTCGAAGTTTTTATAGGTATTTAGGAATAAAGACTAGAGAACAGTCATGAGAATGGTACCAAGAAGTAATTGCCTCTTCGTAACGTTTCCTAAAGAAAATAGTTTAGATAAACAATGTTTAAAATAAACAATGTTTAAAATACTTAGTTTATGATGTCGGCTTTTTTCCCCACTTGGTGTGGGATATATAACTCAGCCAAAACCTTTCAAAATTCGACATGCTAGATTAGGAGTTACACTTGCTGAAATGTAATGGTTTCCGCGAAAACTCGCATGCGTGCACTATACAAGAGCTAGACATCCGCTTCCAATATACCTCGGAAATTGCGTATTTTGTCGCCGGCTACGCAGCAAGGTTATTGTTTTCTATTCTCTGTACCACTGGTTGCGGGCCGTGACTGGTTGCTCTAGTAATGTCTCTACCTTCAAGGACGGCGTCCGGGGTGACTGCCCAGTATTTGAAACGACAAATGCTGAGACCTCAGCCATAAGAAATGCGGCGCAACGGCGCGGCTTAGCACATAGCGATTAGCATGAATAACACCGCCAAACACAACAGTTCCTAGCTTCCCAGTACAGTCCTGGGAAGAGAATGTGTACACACGCACACACCAACTGCAAAAAACCGGCCTCCCTTCACGATAGTCCTCCGCCCCATAGCCGTTGCGCCTTCTTTCGTTCCATTACGTTGGGTGGAGACGCAGCATACATATCACCCCCGCGTTGGTATTAATACCACGTAATAAACACGCTGTTGCACAAGAAAGAATACAAGGCGAGCACACAACCACTGTAATTAAACGTAAAGTTTCTAGACTTCATTTCCAAGCTGACCCATAAATATCCTTATAACGGCGTAGAATAAAGAGAAATTTTGCGAGGTTATAATCAGTAAATTATTTAGTAAAAAGACTATTTGACAGGCTTTCTGCCACCTAATAAATTTAACATGACAATTCATACATTACATTAAGTATTCGTTGTCGGGCAATCAGCCAACCAACGAGCCTAATTTTTGTCTAAGTATTAATTAAAACATTGTCTTGGAAGGAGTAGGCTTATTTGCATTACAAGTCGAGAGAATGTAAAAAGAAAAGAAAACGCTTGTTGTGTAATAAGTTTTTGACATGACTCAACAAGAACCTGCGGCTTTCTTTCTTCCGCTGGCTGGGCAAGACTGCATGCAATGTCAACAGCACATCACTCTCGCCATCTCTCTGCCAGTTCGGTCCTCATTTCGTCCATACTCTACTGGCCAGCAGGCTCCCGCCCGAGAAACACGACAGACTGGACCACGAGAATTGCTGTCTGGGCGGGGAGGTCTCGCACCCCGCCTGCGCGCCCCATTCCCGGTCCCACGCCGCACGCCCCGGCGCTCCCAAAGCGCACCGCCACCAAAGGCTCAACCGCAACCGTCAGCCGGCCAAGTGACGGCCACGCAACACATGGGAAGCACTGCAGGCCCCACGACTAGTGGCGGGCTCTCGAAGAACTATTGAGCGGGAAATTCATATTGTAGCCCATAATGCATTGAAGTACCAAAGAAATTCTACATAGGCGGGAAATTAATCTGCTGCGATTGATCACGGCGGAAACTGGACTAACATTTATTTCAGCCGGCCCCAACATTGACGGCACCGAGGCGGACTTGCACTACGGTCGTTCCTCTTCGCCAGGAAATGCAAGCTGTTTGTACACTCCCTGGAGAACATCTTGCTTTCTTCAAATGATAATCCAGCAGGCCCAGAGCGGGAACGGTACAGACGCGTCACGTGCGAGAGAGGCAGGAGGTTCTGCTCATTGGAATTACTGGGAGAAACCTTGCTCTGGGCAGACATTTGAACCCATCATCAAATCATCACCATATCATGTCATTGTAACAGTTACCATACCGTTAAATTCAATAGTGGTCGCTGATGACCTGGATGTTGATTCGACCTTAAATAACAAAAAAAAAAGTGCTGATTGTATAACCACTAGTTTATTTCGAAAGACATGAAGTGGAATAAAAGCTGCAGCGACCAATTCATGTTTCCATGACCTATGTTTTTTACTTGTCTGTATGAAAGATTTCTTTCAAAATAGATATAATCGGAACACAATGAGCTGAACAATTTTTCATAGACAGCTTTTCAGTAGTTCCTTGGAAATTCTCGCACTCTGCTTTGAACTTGCTGATGCATTAGTGTCATGATCAACCCTTCAACGAGGAACAACAAATAGAGAAATGTTCAAATTATTAGACTAAAGATTCGTTACCACGTATTTTATTACTGATCTGCAGAATTCGTAAGAATTTAAACAACAAAACTATTTGTTTCGGGTATTTTTGAACATATCTCATAAATTTGTCGAATTTAAAGAATGACGGGGAACCATGTCATAAAGCAGATGAGAATTTTACCCTGGCGTGAAAATATACGTACCTGGCCTAAATCCAATAAGGATTTTTTTGGGAAAAGTCAAAAGAAAAACAAAATGAAGATAATTATAAAATAAGAAGAATATACACATTTCAATGATATTTGGTCTCGTAGCATTGAAATAAATAAAGCCTATCAGAAGTTAAAATGATGCCAACAATACTTTATTTTCTACTTTCGAAAAGACAAATGTAAGATATCACCATTAACGCTTTAGTGTACTAATTTGAACAAGTCTGGTGCACATGTCATTTCAGGTGGGAAAAATGCACCATCTTCTAAATTTGATGAACAAATGTCTTTAATGTCGTATTCTTAGAAAACTAACGCGATTCTGCAAAACAGTTTTGTGAAATTTCTCCTGTAATATCCAGAAGGCTGTGTTTTTCCCGTCGGCAATTTACCGATAAAAATATCTTACAACGTTTTGCTTTGGTGATGTAGTATGTACTGGTGCATTAGTTAAAATTCCAGTTTTTCGACCTCTTCAGACCCTGTGCTAAGTCACGGAGGACAGAATAACCGCTTTTTTCTTCTATAACTCTTTAACCTTAAGTCCTGAAGAATTCAAATCACTTATAAAGGAAATACAATTTCCTATCATTTTTGTATGAAACATTTATTTTTAAGGAAATTTCTAAAAAAATGCTATTTTTTTATTGCTCCGAAATGTGTGCGCACGTGTGTTTGTTTGTGTGTGCGTTTGTAGATACATAGATGGAGATGTGTGTGTTCGAGTTCCATATAAATCTTTTACACGGTTGCAATTTCAAATCAACAAACTTTGGAATATATTTTTACAATTGGGAAAAGAATACTGTGGGAATAAGTCAGCCCTACAACTACCAGAGTTAGGGTGAGGAACAAACAGTTACAAACAAAATTATTATGCAAGTAATGCTTTCTGAGCGGACACAGTAGGGAAAGATGGGAAGGGCTATTTAATAGATGACTGTAATAAATACCCGGGCAACGCCGAGTAAATACATACTTTGTCTATGCAGATCCTTCTATGTGGCTCCTTCGTGGCCCATTTGCAAACTCGCTAATAATTCATGGTATTGTCAAATGTATTTCGTTCATATGTAATTGAAAACGTTCAGGCAATGTATACTATACGTTGGCTGGAATTCATGTTTGTCCTATGAAACTATGGAAGAACTACACCAGATGAAAGCACTTTTATATTTTACGATATATTTCTTCAACTATTCATATTCTCTTTAAGAATAAATTATAAAATGATAGAGAGGGATACAATTGCGAAACTAATGGTGCTATGGCAGCACATATCGTATTATTTCTTACGGCTGCGCAATATTGCACTTCATGAGCCTGCAAACCGGCCAGCAAAAATTTTCTATCCGCGCTGGTATTTAAACTGTCTCTTACTGTTAGCCCGCCATTCACGTTACCCATATATCATCCGCCTCACAGCTAAAGTCAATCCTCCCGATACTCTAAAACAAGTTGAACATTAGCATTTGCCATTTTAAAACCCCAGAGCTTTTAATTCACATTATTTAAAGATTGAATCTTAAAGAACAGATTTCATGCAGGAAGATAATCACTATCATCAACATTGTAGTTTTGTGATGTTAATTATTTTAAAGCCTTCATTACTTTATTTTTGTTTGTATTTTTCGAATATACATAAAATTGCCGAAAATGAAACCTGTGCCATTTGTAAGCCTCCTTTGTTCTATCCGCCCACAAAGTTTGAAGAAAAATGTTTTACACATAGCCTTTACGTCAAGCAAAAATTATGGGAAAACGACTCGTTTTCAAAAAGTTGTTCATGGAATTATTTAAAGAAATGTTTTTTAGATTATTTCATTAAAGAAAAATTCTCATCAATTTTGTGTTTTGCAAAGTTTAATTTTTGAGAAAATATAATTTATAAGTTGTCTCTAATTCACGCAGTATTACGCGGAAACTACTCATATGTTTAAAAAAATTGTTCAACATATTTAAAGACATGTCATTGAAGAACAGATTTAGGAACGGGTTAAGAGGGAAAACCTTACTATTTTCAATATTGTATTTGTGGGAAGACGCCAAAAAATCGACTCTAAAAATTCGAATAGTTGCATTTTTCGAAAGCTCAGATATTTTAACAAAGATGAGACCGGCATGCAATTGACGATGAACCATATGCTGGTGAAGTCACAAAAATTCGAGTTTTCGACATGATGCGTGTTCCCTGCTAGCCCCATCAATACTCAATATTTCTGAACCATAATTCTCGTGACCATCATACACATCTCTTCCCTTTCATTTTTCCTTTGAGGATTGTCTGAAGGATGTTGCACATCAATTTAATAAAATGTTAAGCCTGGAAACCCTAGTTTTTCATTTTTATCCAGTATAATGTTTGGATGTAATAGAGCTGAAAATAATATCGAAACTGCATTGAAACGGTGTAGCTGACATTTTTGAAAGATGCTACATTTTGTTGAAACTATTTATATAATATTTGTGGAAGTTAATTTTATAAATGTGATGATATAAAATTATTTCAGTCAACACTAGAACGAAAAATACTAATGTATTGTTTATTTTCAGGAATTTCTCCGGAGTAAAGCTGTTGTAGTTTTTCATCATTTTTTGCGCGTGTGTCCTGAACATTGTCGGCATTACGTAGAGTCTGTATGTGCCCTTTTGGGTGACAAAGATCCATGTGTCGTGGGGTACGTTTTGCAGTTTCTAGTGGATGTTGCAAAGGTTTGTTCAAACTTATGAATATTTTCTTTACGTATATGAATACTATCACTAACATAAGATCTTTTCAACAGATTAATAAAGCATTATTAATGAAATTAATACCGTTTTTAATAAATATACAACATCAAATTTTGACGCACAAATTGTCTGCTGTAGAAGAATACAGAGGTCTACCGGCTCCGTGGATACAATTTACTGTTTTGAGGTATGTTTCATATAATGTACATTAAGGGTTCTGGTCCCGACGGTGGCGATTTTCGCCCTATGCTATAGCTCTATCGCTAGGTCGAGTTAAGCCTTTAAGCAGAATTCTTCAGGCGGAGGAGAGGCGGCTATTCTGATCGATAGTACTCAGTGGCTTCCCCGATCAATACCAGACGAATGCCGGAGTAGTGCGTTAGCAAACGGGCCACGGACTCCGCCAGATCTTTCCTTCCCTTTTCTTGTCCTATCCTTACACACGCGTAGACGTACTTGCACTACACTACCAAACATGTCGGAAAAACAGATGGGAGCTTAGAGCTTGTTCCGGAGGGTAAATACCTGGAGGAGGGAAATCCCCCAAAAGCTGACGTTTAGCTGGCGTTGGATCTAACCGTCTAGCAGGGGAGGAATACTGCCGCCTCTAGGCATACAATTCATTCACTTTACGTGCAAGACCACTGGCCATAGCAGTTGATATGCCCAGAAACATCAATTAATCAATAGAATGCTACGTGAAAAGAAAATAGTTCTAGTTCAATATGTTTATTTTTTATTTATTAAAAATAAAATGGTGGTACCCATCTCTCTTAGTTATTAGTATTCCCAGTGCAATGTTCAGTAACTAAAAAAATATATCACAATATTACCCTGTTGTAATGGTACATTACAATACACATTGACTTACGATAACATATTTCTAAGTGTGCGAAGTAATTTCACGTCATCGATAAAATGGCGATATTTCTCACCAAAAGCACGAGGAGATTGCCACCGACGCTGCAGCAATTGGGGACGGACGTGCCAGTCAGTCTCGCCGTTCATCCAGCAGCAGGGGCGACCTGATGCAGTATGCAGTTGTTGGTGGAAAGTTGCCTGTGTACCCGTAGTTACGCTGTTATGATAGACGACCATAGGAAACTCTCAGCGCAGTCGTCTGTGTTCTGTCCAGAAATAGAACCAGAGAAGAACAACACCACACTAAATGGTTTTCCAAAAAATAGCACGCACATGCTCAAGAGCAATAAATAAAATATACTGCAATAAATTAATATTTTAACAAAGTCAGCAAAATAACTATTAAAATAACGGAAGAAAGAACAAAAGTAAATATTCCTGTCAAATGCAACCCGCAACACTGCAGTATTTTTTACTTTGTATCGTTAAAGAGCTCCTAAACGAAGAGTTTTAGGGCATTAAAACTAAAATAAAGTTTCTCGCACCGTAATCTACAGGATGACTTAGCGTCACTATGCTATAGCTATAACGCTATATTACATAGCTATATCGCCAGGTCGACTTACTTACGTTTTTGCTGGTCTTGCGCTTCTCATTATTACCCCACCTGCTTAGAGACGTGCATAATCTGCATAATGTGTATGAGTGGGACACAGAGAAAGGGGGAGATGAAGTGTAGAACAACGTCTCCCGGGTTCCGCTAGCCGAATGTATTTCATGCGTGGCCTCCTCCTTTGAGCCTTCCTGTGGCATGGCGTCAGTTGTGTCTTAAGCAATGACGCACCGAATAGGGGAAATCAGTCGGTTCGCGCAGTATGAAAATGGGTGGAATAACACAGTCATTTTTCAGTCAAAATCGAAAAGTTCGTAGTAACCACCCACGAAACGTAGAGGCACTACTTTATTCATGCGTCGCAGCAGCCACATAATGAATAGTTCTGCTAGGCCTAAGAAAGCGCGGAAGACTCGTTCCACTGGAAAGGTGATGGCGACTTTTTTGGGAACCGGAGGGGGTTATCTCTAAGCTAAAATTATTTAATGCAACTTATTACTCAGCAACTCAGACTTCTGGAAACAAAGAAAAATACCCAATGCAGTGGCGACTCGTGCCTATTCGCACGTTCGCATGTGCACACCCAAATTAATTCGGTGCGTTTTCTCTTAGATATCTCTAAACAATAGGGAATACATGTTTCTGGGCGTTTCCGAAACATGGAATTTCAAAACATGCGCTCGGACAGTGCACCGCCAAGTGCCCTTCGTGAAATCCAGCCGGCGCACACTCGGGAATTACAACCGAGTAGAGCGCGTCGTAGGCTGACTCGGGGCTGGAGAGGAAAAAGGGAACGACAGTGACTTTATGGACGGAAGGAGCATTCTGCAGAGTGTGCGATCGTCACTGCGTCTGCGCAATCCAATGTCTTAGGGCTGCGTAGTGGCGATCTCAGCAAGGGCCTTGACGTATCTCGAAGATATAACACTCAGCTGGCACACGTTTCTAGAAGAAGTACGTGTGACATTGTGCGAAGGAAGTGTGAGATATCTCTCCACTGAAAAGAGCTCTCATCTCTTCCAATAAAACAGTTCTTCACTAGCGCGCGAAAAGCGATCGCATTGCTGTGTAGTGTTGCATTCATAAGAATTGTGTTAATTTAATATTATAAGCACATTTCTTATATTTTGAAGTGAGTTGCAATTACAAATCCATTTCGAATTAATGAAAACCTAAATGCATTTTGTAAACGTATGCAGTTGGCTACTTTTTCCCAGCGTTTTGAAAAACCGTATTTAGTGTTCGTTTTTCTGTGAAGCGTGAAGAAAAATTTTTGCTGAATAGAAACTTCGTTGAATTGACTTTGTGTTTCGTTACACAGTGTAAGCGGAAAATTATCTAGATTGTTTTCAGTAATCGGTAACTTGTACTTTTAGTCTAAAATTTGTGCAGCGAGCTTATGGGACTCTGTAGAGTAGAGTTTACGTTGTCAAACGGAAGAGCAGGCCTCATGGCGTGAGTGACGCCACGTAAATTAAGGCATCAATTCAGTTCAAAAGTGCGAGTAAAAAAGTTTTGAATTAACGTTTACAATATAACTCTCAACGCTTCTGCAAAACTGTTCTGGAATGTGCTGAGTAGATACGCAGTAATCCGACTCTAGTAGTAAATATTTCGGAGGAGTCCTAGCCGAGCGAAGCCGAAGCAGGTGTAGTGAAAAGAAATGCGGGCAACCCTCATTGCTTTTGAAAGATACCGTGCAACATTACAGACTTCATAAGATGCTGTGTTTAATTGCCATTATTTATGTTAATGAATATACATGTATGCCTTTGTGAATGTGTGTGTGTGTATGTATATATCTATGTATGTGTGTGTGTATGAGAGAGAGAGTGGGGTGGAAGGGAGAGAGAAGAGAGACGTTGCACACTCTAATGGCATGACCCCGAGCGGCCACTGACCTGATAGAATTGGAAGTTGGTGGTGGAAAGCGGGAAACCTTGCGCCACGTCCATTCAGTGGCTTAGCTTCCTATTAGGCTGGAAGTCTGAACCAACCCAAGCAGTTCACTAAAAACATAGTTTTCATAACTGTGTTCTGTGTTAATGGATATTTTACACGACACGACACGATTATCACGGGTGTGGTTCTCGCGTCTTATACCCCGCGCTTAGTTGCGAACGCTTCCGAGAGCGTGCCAAGACGGGCAACGCAGCCTTAAACGCATGCGCAGTACGCGTGTCTGCAATTCGCAGATGCAGGGAGTGATGAGGGCAGCTTCGTTTTCTACAGGCTGGCCATTGGGGGCGTTGGAGATAGTTCGCAGCCTGACGCGGGCTGGAACACGCCAACAGCACACACATTCACAACTCGGCTTATCGGAATGACCAAGATCTTGATGAAAGGAAAGGGACGGAAGAAGAAATGATGGATGAGGTGATGGACCAGAGGACCATCGGTGCCGTTCACTCGTCGATTAACTCACACTTTTGAATAGCACTGTCTAGTAGAAATTGTGGATATTGATTCCTAGACGTTTCCTTATTTAAAAATTATGTCCAAAGGTATCTTAGTGAAAGTAACAAAACAAGTCAATTAATAATTAAACTAAAACTCACTTAGTTCTGTTATTATTTAAATTCTTTTCGCAGTAGTGAAATAAATATTTGCCCAACATTATGCGCAAATGTGGTGGAATTGGCACGAATTATATTTAATAATTATCAACAGTATCCTAACCAGTGGGCATTCGGTTCAGCTAACACCTATCTCAACTGCATGCGCGAGCAGAGAGGGGGAGAAAGGGACAGACAAGAAAAAGAGAGAGAAACGAAGAGAGGGACAGAAAAAAAGACAGAAATAGAAACTGGGAGAGCAGAGAGTTCTTCGTATTGGCATGAATAGTGGCGGATTTAACATTTCAGCATTCTCCATTAGCCACTGAAATCTCTTAAGTAATAGTCCCAAAAGCACCTCTCCCCAATTGGCCCTTATAGATTTTTGAACGAAATTTGATGGCCTTTTGTTTTTTGAAGTTTTTTTTTCATTTTAAAATTATTTTGGGTTAATAAAAAATACATTCAAGACTGTTTTAACAACGGTCTTTTATTTTTCATAATTTATTGTAGAAACAAAATTTCCATATCAAAGGACTTAAGACTATGAAAACATGATCTCCGTGTCTCCATGCCGTCCAGAAATAAGAATTTACAGTCTTCTGGAATTTATGAGTGCATTGTTCACAGCCTACAAGAAGATATTGCAAGGAAAACAGTAGTTATTGGACAAAATATGTATGCCCATGCTCAAATACAACTACAGAAAAAACAATTACATATTTTGATGGTCCAAGATTGTTTTCAAACAAAGTAAAAGAGATTGGGAGAAAACAAGATGGAACCACATAATACTATATAATTATTTCTTCAAAAACTCCAAAGGAAAGACAGTTAAGAACATTTAGATATATGGATCACTCCACGATGGCAGCTAAAAAAAAGTTTGGGAAATAGATTCGACATTTTTTTAAATATCGTAGGCAGACTATTTGCACATGTTCCCACTGCTATAAAGTTCTCAAGATGTGCAGCAAATTAGAGGAAATACGAAGTTTTGGATTTGTTAGCATAAAATGCATCAAAACATGTACAAAAGAAAATCAGAGGAAAATTTGTGATTTGGTTCAAATGTACCAGTTTTTCACAACTGGCCATAAAACTAAATTTATTGGCTTTTCAAATTTGCTCTTTTTTTTTTAAAACCAGATTAAATTTGAGGTAGTAATTCTATTTCGCAATTTGAAAAAGTCTATTGGACAGCTATCTAGATTCCTGCTTTTAGGTAATTCTCTTCTTAGCTGTTCCAGGCACATAATCAAATGCCAGTCTAGGAATAAGCTAAGTTAAAAAAAAAGAAAGAAAGAAAATAAAAAATGCAATGACGACTGAAGAAACACCAATGATGTCAGAAGGTATCCCTAATGTAAAACGTGATGAGATGGTATTGACTTACATACTACGATTGAATCATTTGCCAAGCAAAACCGAGATGATAGTATAAAATTGTATGTATAAAGAGATTTGTGTAGACATTTGATCACTTTGTACTTAAACCTAAATTCCAAACTAAACTCTGCTTTTTCCCCTGAGGGGCCAACTTAAAGCTGTACCCCTTGCCCTGCCTGGCATTACATCCACTCTCTGCCATCTGTTTCTTGTGTCCTGGGAGGGGGCGTCCCTCCCAAAGCCCTGGACTCCCTCACCATTTCCCCTCTCTTTAGTTCTCCAGGCTGGGACCCTATCTGTCGATAATCCCCTGAGGTAGCTGCAGCCCTTCCCAGCTAGTTCTTGGCTATCGCCTGGGTACCGCTGTGATCCATAGACCCTTAGGAGAATGGTTGTTAATGACAGGATTGGGTAGGGAGTGCCTGATGGAGTGATTTAACAATTAACTTTAGTGAAACGCTGTGTATGAAAAAATGTTATGTGTACCCTCTGTCCCTGGGCTTGAACCTTTTGGAATACACAGTTCTTATATTACAATATTATGGAACCAGCTTCAGAGAAAATGGATCTGTTTTGATGAAACGTGGGGGGGGGGATATATTTATTAGTTCATTATATTTGCTCAAATTAATATTTAATAAATTTGCATAGACCCAACATTTGCTTTGGAGCATTCCCAGAAAAACAGATCATGCTACGCTATAGCCCATAGACCCATAATGTCAGAATATCTACAACAAACCTCAGCAAATTGAAATGGGACCTTGTGCCACGTCCTTCAAAGTCCCAATTTTGCTTTCAAGGGAATTTTACCTGTTTGGAAATCATACCAGATTTGGAAAGCAAAGGCATGCAAAATGAGGCCAACATCGACGGTGTTGGGGAGTGAATATGCAGCTTACTAAAATGCTTTTATATAAAAGACATTAAGATGCTTCAAGAACATTAAAAAATGTTGACCCTGGAGGGGAGTATTTGAAGAGTGTCGTGCGCAAATGTTTTTGTTTAAATAAAATAGTTACTAAAAAGTGAGTTTGAGTCTTATTTGAACCCTCTTGTATCTTTCAATGGATTTAATTTGCTAAACAGGTTCTAGATGATAAATCTGGATAATATTTATCACCGGAAAATATTTTATTGTTATGTGGTTTTTAATTTCAGACTTCTGCAAAATGCTGAGGAACATACAAAAGAGATTGCTTCATTATGTTATAAAACTTTGGATGTTCTTAAATTTGAGAAGTTTCCTCTTCAAGAAGCATTGAAAATAGAGTGCCTTAATACATTACTTCAGTGTGAAGGTGGAGAGAAAAACTTCAACTTAGCAATGAAATACTGTAAAGAACTTTTATTCAGTAGTAGTTCTAATTTGAGGTATAAATTCTTGTATTTAATTTTTGTTACTCAAGTGTAATTTTTTAATTTTCTAATCAATATTCAATCACTGTTTCAATAGATATACAGGATTGGATCTGCTACAAAATATTATTCAACAATATAATATTGTTTTAACACCTGATCTTCAAGAAGTGATATCAAGATGTCTGGAATATAATGATTCAAGTGTTCAGTACAAAATATTACGTTTACTTTGTGTGGCTGCAAATGAAAAGAATGTAGACATGGTGTGCTCCCAAATTGCAGATAATGTTCTCTCATGTTGCAAAGATAAACTGCATTTTCAAGTGGAACTGATAAATGAAGCAATTGTTCTTACTGAAAAATTTCCTAATACTAATAATTACTGGCATGTTGCAATGCTCATCCGCTTGCTTCAATTAGCTGATGAAAAGCAATCTAGGCTTATCCAACAAAAAATTAAAAGTGCTTTATCATCAGGTATGTGAAATTACTCTTAAAATTAACCATCAGTTTAGTTTCTAGTAACAAAATATTTATATTTATATCTTTCTTTTTTAAATTTTTTGCAGAAAATGCACCAAATATTTTTCAAGCACGCCTTAAAGTACTTCAAATATTGAGAAAATATTCAGATACCAAAACTGCTTCTACTGCTGTTTTGGAAATGTTTGTTTGGACACTAAGTCATTTTGGAAAACATTATCTTGCTAATAATGAGGAAGACACGGTAGATGTTATCAAAGAAATAATTAATTTAGGCAGAAAGATTGTGAAACATCAATTTATTAAATCTTATTTTTCATCAGAAATAGAAAGGCTGCTAATTGCCATTAACGATGCATTGACTTACGTTAGTTATCAATATGGAGTTTGTTCAAATATTATCGAGTATGTAGAAGAAGTAAAATCTATGTCTGTTAATAACTCATGTTTACATAAATATTGCCAGGAGATCATTTATAGCCTACCTCATTGTCAAGCACTGCATAAATGTTTAAAAGACGTGAATTGGCACAAGGAAACTAAAGGAACAGATTTTACATTATCATTTCTTGATTGGTATGTTTGTGAAAGTTTAAAAGGTGGTGAAACACTGTGTAACGTAAAACAGCCCAAGGTTAATCCAGAAGCACCAGAGGGGGAGCCCGAAGGTTTTTTGTATCAAGATGTTAGTTATATCAGGGATTCTCCTGGATTATGTGCAAGTCCTGTTAGTTCTGAAAGGGAATCGTATTTTGGATCAGGAATGTCCGAAGAGTTGAAGATTTTTCACGGAAGAAGGTGAGTTTGCAATTAACTGAGTTATAAATTATGAAAGATATACAAGTTTACTGATCCAATATGTGTTAGGCAATTCAATGTTTTCTGTATTTTGGTTATTTTGCATAGTAATTAATCTTAATCATTCAGTTTGTAAATATTTTTCTCTTCAGAAAAAAGTTTTGTATGTTTTTCTTCTCAAACATTTAATAGTAGCAAAAGCAATGTAATAAATCAATTTATTGATACTTGAGGTTTGAAAATCTAAAATCTCATTCTTAAATTCGATATGAAGAAAACTACCATTGCAATTAATAATATGCCATTTAATCAATTTCACTCGCATATCATTCAAGTGAAACAAAAGAATCCTTTAAATTTCTTACTCAATGTCTAAACTCTTAATTCTTTTGAGTTTTTAATTGTACGTATTTTATTTAATTGTACTACATGTGATTAATTATTGTGAATATTTGATGTGAAAGTAATGACATGACACATTTTGTGAATGTTATAGTTTTGACAAAGAAGCTGCTGAACCAAGAATTATCTGGTCAAAAATTGGTGTTGTGGAAAATGACATTGTGAAGACAGATGTTGAATCGGACAGTCTAAATATGTCTCTGGTAAGAAATTTGAACAGTTCAGAAAACCTTGACAAACTTTTTCCAAGAGAAAGTGCTGAATCTAAAGAAGAAAATGATGATGAAAGACTGGATCCATTAGATAGATTATTAAAACAAAATGTTCAATAGCTATAATTAAATTTTGAAAAAAAATGAACTGATTATTTAATGTTTTATATTTTACTAAAAACACAGAATAAATTATTTTTATAATATGAAAGTTTTATTCCTAGCGGTCATGAAATATTAAGTTTGGTGCTGGCATGTATTAGAAGCTTCAATCTAATGAATTAAAAAATACGGATGTTGAAGACCACATCTTGTAAGTTGTTGGGCCCTGTTTTCTTTTATGTCTTTCCTTTTAGTGACATTTAGTTCTTTAGTAGACTTCTAGTTTTTCCATGGAATGGCTGATGTTGTTGGGGACACATGTGGTATGTGAAGCCAACTGTGCTGCAATCTCTTGTTGACTCTTCATGCCTTATATGCTGTTGAAACATACAGCCTTTGGTCCAAATTCTTGAACATTGCTCCTATTGCCACCTAGGCAGGTGTGTGTTGATAAGGATATTTGTTCTATTTGGGACAATCATCATGCGATTTTACCGATTACCAATTTTTGATGTGTTTTACCCTCTTTGGCTTTGGCTCAGTCTATTAATTTCAAATGACCAGGCTCTATTTTCAGCCTTGTGATGTCATAGTGAGTAATGAACAATAACAGACACAAACTACATACTTACAGTTTTTACATTTTTGTACATGATTTCCACAGCTTGAAAACCTTCTCGGGGCTTGCATAATACGCATCTCCGTGCTACCTACCTAAGTACATGACCGTGACAATTTAACTCACAGGAAAGCTGAGAGATTAATTTGTGCAGCTGCCCGGAAAGTGCAATGCACGTTCACACCACTGGTGGGATCATTCCTGCCCTTTATTGGCATCTCAAGGCTAGTGGCAGATCCGTGAGGGAGGGAGTGCATGGGGGCCATGCCCTCCTCCAGGCCTAGACTTTTCATTTGTTTCTGTCCTTGGCAAAATTGATTTAAATATTATTTTATGTATGTTAGAATTATGTAATTATTTAAAAATAATAATGAATAGTATAATATTATTCATATATACACTACTAAAATAATATGCAATATAACAAATATGTTTATTATTTAAAAAATCTATGGTCCCCCCCCCCCCCACACACACACACACAAATGATCGGCTGGATCCGTCCCTGTCTACAGTGGCATTGTTAAGTCGCTGTGTTTTTTCTGCTATGGGAATAAACCTAGGCGCGCTTACGAGGCTTGCGCCTTTTTCAGCTGAACATAGGCTGGCGCTGTAGCGACTACGGTCGTGTGCCCTGTCCCGTTGTCCCGGGACGGCCGGGGGCTCTCATGGGCGTCGGACTTCCGTAGCGCAAAGCGCTGCTCTGGGACATTAAGTTTGAACTACTTGCAGCGGTTTTCAAATGCGCATTTGCTGTCAATACCCAACCGGGGCGTGCTTAGTCCAATAATTGGTTTATAGAACGTGAGATATTTTATTCCGTTTGTGAAACAAAATTCGCAATCTACTTCTAGTCTGCCGCGCTTTCGTCAGCACATTTTCTATGCGCAGATTGAAGGTTAGGAGTTATGTAGTGTAACACCTAAATATTTTACATTTTTGGCTCCACTTTACTGCGCCACTTCATAGCGCGAGTGGCTTCTGCTGTGAGAATCGCAACATCGCGTGAAGAGTACAGCTGTATTCTTGCTCACTTTCAATCACCATAACTTCAACCACTATAACTATATATATATATATATATATATATATATATATATATATATATATATATATATATATATATATAGTTGTAACCACCCACACCGTCGTGGTCACCCCCGACTCACCTGATTACCTGTTTTCCTTCTTGGCGATTCAGCATTGCCCCGGCTGCTCCGTCGATAGACTCCCTAGAGGGAGACATGCGTGTTGGGGCTAACTACTACACATAAACAAGGTTTCATTTTCGTCAACATGTTTAATCGGTTCTGTATGCAATGTGGGTGAAGCCCAATACCAAATTAAGCTTACTGACTATCTTAAAAACTACTCTTAATTTAGGTAGCGCGAAGTGCTTGCTGAGCCGACCAGAATTTAATTGAGTTTGCTCTGGCCGCTGATCCGAATAGAAGTGACTGAGCGTTCGTTCCGAGCTTGCCAGGAAGATTTGTGGCTAGCGTGGCCCTCCCCCGCGTCACTCGCGATTGGTGGGCGCGCGTCACGCGGTTTCTCCGCGTCTTCGCAATTTCTGG